AAGCCACAATTTCTCATTACTTGTACCAAGAAGTGTCAGTCCACCAAATCATAGGCCTTCTCCAGATCCAACTTACAAACAAAGCCTCTTCTTTTCAATCTCCTCATATCCTCCACACACTCACTAGCAACTAGGATTTGATCTATTATTTGTCTTCCTTGAACAAAAGCCCCTTGGGCTTGGCTTATTAGGGATGGGAGAACTACTTTCAGCCTCAAAGGCAACACCTTAACCAATATTTTGTAAATGCTAGTTACCAAACTAATTGGCCTGTAATCCTTAGGGTGGGTAGCATCTGGTTTCTTGGGGACTAAGGCCAAAAAAGTGGCATTGACTCCCGGGCTTACTATATGATTCTTGGTGAATTCCTTAATAGCGTCACATAAATCCTCTTTCAAAATGTCCCAACAATCTTGGTAGAAAGCCATAGTAAAACCATCCGAACTTGGCGCCTTATATCCATCATGAACACTGCCCTCCTGATCTCCTCTTCTTCAATGTTCCTTTCCAACCACCTTGCTTTTTCTCCATCTAACCTCGGCCATTCCAATCCTTCTATAGGCACCCTCTCATTCAATGTCCTTCTAAAGATAGCTTTAAAATGGTCTACAAAGGTTCCAGCTATCTCCTCCTGATTAGTAATTACCTGCCCTTCTACCTCTAATCTATCCACTAAGTTCTTCCTCCTTCTACCATTTGCCAACTCATGAAAGAATCTAGTATTCCCATCTCCCTCCTTAATCCACTTATGCCTTGACTTCTGCCTCCAACGGATCTCTTCTCTGAGTAGAACCTCTTCTAGATCCTTTTTTAATTGCCTTCTTGATTCTCTATCCTACCCACTCAACAATCCTTGGGCTTCCCTCTCATCAAGCTCTTCAATTTGTGTGAATAAGATTAGCTTTTGTTCCTCTACCCTACCAAAGTGATCTTTATTCCACTCCTTCAACATGACTCTCAGTCTCTAGCTTCTGATGGAATTTGATTCCTTTCCACTTTATTCCCCTTAACTCCTCATACTGCAATATTTTAAAGCCTTGTATATAGATTTACCAAGAGAACAGTTGCTCTTTCACCATTACCTTCATGTCAAAATTTCATTTTTCATTATTTGTCTTCTTTTTTCCAAAAAAAATACTTATTTCCTTTTTTATTTTTAAAATTTTAAGATACCATCTATTCATTCATTACTAGAGAATGACCACCCCATACTAAGTACGGGGCCAATATTCATATAATTTTGTTTGACACCCATTATCTATGTTGTAAATTTAGGTTATTTTTTATTTGACATTTTTTATATGTAGACTTGTTATTTAATTTAAGAGATTAAATCAGGTTTTATATTTCTAAACGATAATCCACTTTATGGATCCTACGTCATTTGATATGAGTTTTTTTTTCTCTTTAGTGGAGGTAACTACCATTTGAAACTCATACTTCTTCATCTTCTTTTTTTTTTTTTTTTGGAGAATGGGTGGACACATGTCTTAGGCAAATTGCCGATGATATGTATCGCACTTACAACTTCAGAACATGCATATCAACTGTAATGTTACAAGCACAATTTCTTGGAATGAATCAATAAGGTGCACTATATCATGATTAAGATATTCCATTCAATCATGTCAGAGAAGTATTTTGACAATAAATTTATCTATCTATAAAAAATAAAAGAGAAAACCCATAATAATTTTGTAGGATCCCCCAAAAAAATGAAATGAAGACCTTGATGGAGCTATGATTGCAAAATGGCTCTACAATCACATAAGATGAATGATCAATGTAAAAGAATGAAAATCAGACAGCATACCGAACTAATAGAATAGAGCAGTTAATTGAATGGCATTAATAATAATAATATCACTTATATCCTATGATGTCTCTAAAGGTTTGCCTTAAAGTTTCCGTCTCTAAAAATACCCTAAAAATGGATACTCTGGAAAACTCCCTCCTATCTACCTAAAACTACCCATTGAAACTCTGCACTCTTTTCCTTGCTAGATTTTCTTTCCCACTCAAGGTGATCAAACTCTTTATCTCAATGACAGTTGGGCCCCTTTTTCCTTTTTCCTTTTTCCTTTTTCCTTTTTCCTTTTTCCTTTTTCCTTTTCTGTTCCTTTTGAATCAACAACAGGAGATACAGAAGAAATGGGGACTACTTGCTCCTGATTTGTAATAGTAGTCGATCTAGACTACAATCAGTCTT